CGGGCCAAGGGTTTTCTAGACAGAAGAAACAGTAGGGACAAACCTTTAGGATAAAATTGAGTTAACATGTTTAAAAAAAATGAATGAAGACCAGTGTGGCCGTAGCAAAGTGAAAAGAAGGGAGTGGGATGAGATGGAGCTAGAACGTTGGAGGGGGTTGAATCATGCAGAGAATATTAAACCAGGATTAGATGTCAGATTTTTTTCTAAATAGAATGGAAATTATTGTAAAGCTTTGAATAGGAAAATGGCTTGACTTGATTTACACATTTAAAAGATCATTCTGGCAATTCTTGAAGAAGGTATGATAGGAGAGTTAGAACATAAGTAAGGTGACCAACTGGAAGCTTACTATAGTAGTCCAGAGAATGATGATGGGTGTCATGGACCATGATGGCTTAATGGAGACAGAAAAAAAGCAGATGTGTTCAGGTTGCTTTAACACAGGGCTGAGAGGTCACAGTGATTATTTAGACTGTGGTGTGTTCAGATACAAGTCACGAATGAATCCTAGATTTTTACCTTGTACAACCAAGTAGCTGGAGTAGTTCATTTATTATGGTAGGAAATAACAAGAGAGAAACAGATTTTGAGTGGGAAGGAAAATAAGTATTCTTGTTTAGTCTTGTTAGTTTAAGATGCATATTAAACATCCAAATAAAGACATCAAAGAAACAGTTGGATGTATAGGTCTGAAGATCTATGGTCAAGACTGACTGTAGAGATTTTCATCCTGAATAAAATCATCTAGACTATTGTAGATAATAAGGAAATAAAGGGGTTCAAGATCAATCCCTGGGAATCTCAACAAATAGGTGAAGAGGAGGAGGCAGAATTCTCAAAGAGGCAGAAGAAACATTTTGACTGCCTAATGCCAGAGAAGAAGGTATTTTAGGACAGAGCTCAACTATGCCAAATACTGCTTTTTGCCGCAGAATAGTCTAGGCCTTGGAAGTATAAAAAGTAATATAACCTGGCCCCTGAACCTAAGTTCATATTCGAATGGGAAACACAGGGAAACAGACAATTTTACTCTGATGTATAATTGTGAAAATTCAGGGTATTATAGGAGCACATAAAAAGGACACATCCAACCAGACTTGGGGGCTGAAGAAAGCGATTTGGAATGGCCTTTTGGAGGAAAAATTAGAAAATGTGGCTAGGTAGAACAGCATTCCTGGTTAAAAATAAATCTGGAAAACCAACTTAGAGTTTGGTAACTTGTAGGTAAGCTTCCAGGATGGATAGAAGTTCGATTCAGCATAGGATATAATGCTAGAGAGATAAGCAGCAGCCAGATCATGGAGAACTTTGAAAGTTATACTAAAGAGTTTGAACTGTTTTTCCTAAAGGCTATTGGGATTCATAGAGAAATTATTAACAGTGAACAACTAGAAAAACAGTTTGCATCTTGGAATAATCTCTCTGGCAGCCAGCCCCAGGAGAATGGCTGAGAGTGGGTCAAGAAGTCTGATGTGAATATTGTTTATGAACGTATGGTAGAAATTCAATCAATAGGTGATGAGAACCTGAACTAAAGAAGAGGAAGCACATTTTTTTTTTAAATCCTAAAGTCCATGTATTTTATAATAGGTCATAAATAGCAAAGATGGACACTATTTTTAATTAAGACAGAGGGTAAGTTTGAGCCAGTAAATGGAGCTCCTTAATTTGGAATTTGGTCAGCAAAAACTGGTAAATAATTCCTGACAGATGGCAACACAGAATCTTCTGTGACCATTAACATCAAGATCTCTGCTTTATGCTTCATCCAAGAGATGCAACTTCTGACAACGTAGACATTTCCAATTCTTTAATAGGTCCTTTTCCACAAGAGTGCTTTTCCCTTTTATGGAAATACTGAGGTCTCTCTTAATTAATAATGTTTATAATAATGTTGATAGTTAAGATAATAATTATTTGGAGACTTTATATACTACATGAGAATTGGCACATGCCTCTCGGGTGGCTAATAGGTGACATATCAAAGGGCTGAAGACTCGACTAGAGATCAGAAGCCATCTCCAAGGATTTTGATAAACTGGATTTCTAATTCAATCTTGAGTACATATATATATATATATATATATACATATATATATATATATATATATATTTTTTTTTTTTTTTTTTTTTGCTTGTGTAGCTCACTTCTGCTACTCACTTTCTCCCTAGTGTCTATAGATATAGCTCCTCTCTCTGCAATTCTGGAATCTTTGATTCCCTAAAAATGTGGAACTCATGCATGGAATGTGCCAATGGCATTTCTGGTGGTAATGTTCTGAGACATGGAGGGTGTTACAAAATTTTGTTCAGAGATCTACATAGAGACATTTCCCATTGTTAATGTCAACTAAATTGGCCAAAATGTGTTCCAATTTATGTATCAAAAATTATGCAATGAGAAATTTAGAACATAAAACATTAAGAACCCATATAAATGTTTACCTTGTTAACTAGTTTCAGGAACTGCCTGAATCTCTTATTTGGTAATTAATCATGTGTTGCCTGGAGATATCACCTGTATTGTCCTATTTATTAGTACTTAATTCTTCCACCTTCACATAGCCACAGACTGTTTTGTAAGCAATCAAAATGCTAGAAATCATTAGGAAAATGCTGTAATTATATGGGTGAGGAAACTAAGGTCCAGAGATATAAATACTTCTTATATTTCTTAGTCTGCCAGAAGTGGAATGCAAACTCAGATTTCCTGTTTTCAAGCTCAATGTCTTTGCTTAAAACTCTTGGACAGAGGAAATACATCTAATACTAAAGACCATATTGTTTTTTACTAAAATTTACATCATTTTGACTTGATGCTTTTAAGTTGTTGATGCCTACAATGTCCTAGAATAATCTTTTGATATTTATTAAGAGAAATGTGATTTTCAAATTATTTTTGAGATGGGGTATTTCTCCATCACCCAGGTGGGATTGCAATAGCACAATTACGGCTCACTGCAATCTCAAACTCTTGGGCTGAAGCAACCCTCCCTCCTCAGCCTCCCAAGTAGCTTGCGACTACAGCCGAGCACCACCACAGTGTGCTAATTTTCTTTTTTTTAATTCCTTGTAGAGATGGGGTCTTTCTATTTTGATCAGGCTGGTTCCTAACTCCAGGCCTTGAGCAGTCCCCCCACCATGGTCTTCCAAAGTGCTAGGATTACAGGCATGAGCCACCATGTCTGGCCTTCTGAAATGTGATTTTATGGGATTTGCACTGTCTAAAGTAACCGTTAAAGTTTTCTCCCTTTCTTTCTCACCTGAGAACAGAAATCACATTAACTCAGTCTTTCCAGGCCTTTTTGAAACTCTATATAATTAGCCCTTTTAAAAAGAAAAACAAAATGTTTGTAAATATCGTATTTCCTCATCTGAGGTTTGGAAATGAAGTGATAAACTGCTTTATGATGTCATCCTATAGTAAAATTTTCCTACCAAAATCATGAAAACATTACTTTCTGTAAATATAATTATAGTTGAGGGTTCAGTTTTCTAATGTAATCTAAATTAAAATAAAAGTTAAAACCAACAGGCACATCACTGTGTGAATAAAAACTAAGCATAATATTTCCCAAATGTATTACGATAAACATTTTTGTTCTTATATCTCCTTTTATAAATACTGACCTGCACATATTTCCTATCAAGACACACTTCTTGAATTTTCAGGTGAGGCAGAGCAGAAGCTTCTATGTTTTTATTTCTTTGCATCAGTTATTAACCAGAAAAGGACATATTGAAGGATGAAGGCACTGGCAAGAAATGAATTCTGAAGAAGAGTCACAAAGAGAAGAAATTAAGAAAAATTTCCTAAGAGTGACAATACTTTTCAAAAAAAAAAAAAAGAGGCAATAGAAAAAGGGGGAAATTATGAAAGGTGTTGATGATAGTCCTAGAGTGGAGAGCTCAAGTTATTCATAAACACAAATAGGGTATTTGTAGCATTTTGTCAGCTTGAGAAATGTAGATGTTGCAAGATGGAGTAAGGAAGGTTATAAGAAATTCCCTCAAGTCAATAAACGTCAATGAAAGTATGCCTAAGAATCATTTGCAAGAAAAAAGTGTTACCTAAGATAATGAGGAATCATAAAAATTCAGTGGAGAAAACTAAGGAATTTTGTTACCCCACTTATTAGAAAAACATTTAAAAATTGTGGTATAGCACAAACCATAATCAGAAGATTTTTCTATTTCTCATATCATACTATTATGTAGATAGTACATGTTTAAATCAATCGCACCCTAATGTAATATGTTGACATTTTATACATATTTTGTTTTATATGAATTACTCCATGATTTTAATTTACTAGATATGTATGCATTTTATCAGTTGGTTTTTTTTTACATTAAACAGATGGTACTTACTATCCCTTTTATTATAAATGATTAGAATTTGGCTACCCACTCAATATTTTTATTTTGTCTTTCTGATTTATAATGTCTGTGTTGATGATGAACTCCATTCACACATATAAAAACATACATATACATACATAAGTATTCTATATAGAAAAATCAACTATAATCATTTAATATTTTGAAAGAAAAACTTATATAGAAGAATCTGTTAGTATAGATAGTTGCATAGCTATCTATTTCCTTATAGAAGGAAAATATTTCATACATGCAGCATATTTATAGACATGTATGAAATATTTTCCTTCTATAAGGTCCAGGTTTGTAAAGAAAAGTGCCTTTTCCTAAAAAATAAATGCTTCCTCTTTTTTTACTTTACATATTTTCTTTCAATCGCAAAAATATATTTAAAATAAAATATATTTTTGCATAATGTCATATTAAATGTGGCTTTTAATGATTGGTTTTGGTGATTTTTGAAGATTTTTGTATTTAGATGGCATACACATTTTCAATCATGTCTTAATTACTTTTAAAAATGCTGCACTGGCTTAGGGACAAGACAGATAACTTGTTAAGCATTTGAAATTTCTGAGCTGTTTTCTCAGTTCTGGCAGTCACTACCCAAGTCCAGATTGTAACCTCCTTTCTGCCTCCAAAGCCTGCCTTGGCTCCGTGTCCAGTGAGGGATTATGGATTTAGCAAGGAAGGTAAGTGTGACTACAAGCATTGGCTCACCATCTGCTCCCCAGCAGAGCATGGGCCAACCTGCATCGCCTGCAGCAAGACCAGGGCACTGTTCTGCAGCCAGCCCTTTCCAACCTGGCTCAAGGCACACAGCACATTCAGTCAGATGATTAGGTCTAAGTAGTCCATATGTAACAGAATATTTTTCCTAAATACCAAAATGAAAACAAAATGAATGCCATTTTTTTCATTCTCCTTACTCGATACATCAAGTTTTACACAAATAAATACTCTCTTAAGGTTTATGCAAATGATAGAAAAATAAAACTATGCATTATTTAGCAGTTCTCCTATTTCAAGATCTAACAGACTTTATTCACAGCATGTTTTTCCCTAGTTTATGCTGGCCTTCTTTTCTGATTCGACTTTTTAATTCATCTTTTTAAATTATTCCTTTTTAAATCATTATCTTATGTGTCTTCATAGATTTTCATGTATTAATCTATTATTAATTTTTACTATACTCAACTTAATCTTAAATTGTTTAAAGCTCTTTTAAGAGTAAACACTTGCCTATGCTTTAAAAGTAGCTTGTCCTTTAACATTTTACATATTTGATCCAGTAGCCTCATTCAAACCTAACTGTCAAATAAATTATAATTTTATTATGTGCATTTTTATGCACAGAAGAACCAAGCACTAAACAGGAAAGTTAACCTTTGGGTTCAGGCATCAAGATTATTTTTCAATTCTCAAGAACTAAGATTTCCAGCCACCCACATTAGCACATTTTATTCTTTTTTTTGTATTTATCAATAATATGCTATTATATGTTTTTGTATTTTGCTTCAGGTCAAGTGCCTTAAAAAAAAAGATTTCCATAAATAGCAGAAAAACATGCAGTTGAAAGTAGCTTTCTGCTTCCTTTAGCCCTGTTGCTGATTTGAGCACACAGAGTGAACATGAAAATAAGCTGAACAAACATCTCACCCTTTTTACTTAAACTGTTGTCTGCCTGACTGCAGAATGCACACAGAAAACAATCTAAAATTGTATAACCCATAATACAGTATATTAAATTACAACATTGGTCAGTAATGGAAACTTATTCCCAGATATAAATTATTTACAGCCCATTTAAGTAATCCATATTCAGGTGTGGCAATGAAAAAAAGTGCAACATAAATCTTTAATGCTGACCGGTTGAGAGAGCAGAGCTGAGGATTACAGACATTTTAAAGAAAAAAAACTAAACGAATTGATATAGCCTGTTCAGTGGCTTACTGCACCAGCGTGCTAATAAATTGACGGATGGCGTGTCAGGGGTAGGAGTTGAAATCCTAGCATTTCTAACTAAGGCGGGATCTAATATCAGACTACCAAAATAAGGAGTTTCTGAACCTGGTTGTCACAGGAAACAGCCTGTGCATCTTTTTGTATATGCAAGTGTTCAAAATATCATATTTCAACATGAAAATCCATGAAGGATTTTTTTAAAATTAACTCAGTAACTGCATTAGTAATTTCAACGAGCCACATAAATTGTGTTATAAAACAGAGAGGGTATATTAAAGGTAAGCGTTTCTTTTTCTTCTTCAAGGAGTTGGGGCCAATGCTTTATTTTGGGAAATAAACTTATCAAAGAAAATCCCTTTAATCCTGTTTTACATTTCCATGGTATATAGAATAGAATTCATCAACCAACTTAAAGGGGGAAAGGAAGCAAAGACTTCTGGAGTGTTTCGCACTATTTTTAATACAAACTGTGCAAGTTGTTAGCTACTTCAGTTTGAAGTATAAAAGATCATGGTGGGGGAAGGGGGGTGGTGCCTTCATGTTGCAATTTCTTTTGTTTCCTGGAGCAGTACCTATATTAATTCATCTTACAAAGATCATTGCTCAAGAACTAAATTTTGCATATATTAGAAAGCAGAATTAGCATTGCACCGTGTACAACATTCCACGCTAACTTCTCTCCAAGCAACCATTAAAGGTCATGTTTTGACGACTGAATGGCATGTCGGCACCTTGGTTCCCTGGAGAGGCATTCCCCAGGTACATGCAAAAGGTTATTAAATTACCTTCCGAGCAACACTATCTCTTCGGATGAAAATAATTACAGGCTTTTAGAGGCATCAGAATGCTTTCTTTCTTTCTCTCTCTCTGTCTCTCTCTTTTTTTTTTTTAATAAGATGAAGATGCAGTACCTAATGACCATTTTTGTGTGTGAGTCATATAGCCTGTCAGTGGTGACAGGACAAATGAGCGTAATGGCATAGCTTAAAGGGGAAAGGTTCATTTTAAATAGTGACAAATAATATTTAAATGGCATTGTTGGAGACCCATCATGCTTGTAAAATGTAGTTTGTATCTCTTCTTCATCCTTTAATTTCATCACTGTCAAATGGCATTAGCTGTTAACATGCAACATCAGGTGCAGATATAATTTTTAACTGCTAAATGTGTCCATAACCAAACATAATATATCTTGATTTTTCCTGATTTTTTTGGTACTATGGATAACTCATTCCATAATGTAAAAGACAAAATGTATCTGGGGATTTGATTGTAAAGACAACTTTACTAGATGGATAAAATAACAGCTTTAAAATATAATTCCTTGAATGTTATTTCTTGTCAAAGTTCAAAAATGGAAATGAGTTAATTGTTAGGCTAACTCTAATTAACTGATTGGTAATACCATGGACAAGATTACCAGCTGTAGCGATTTGGTCAAAAGAGTCATGGGCAAACCAAATGTAATGAACTGTATGCTGTCTGTACTTGGAATAAGATGGTGAACATAAAAAAGATTTTCCTTTGATGCAAATGTATAACTTCGGAACATGTAATAAGTGTAAATCACATCACCAACAAGCAACATTTTTCTATTCTTTGTCTAGTTATGGAACTTGAAAAAGTTAACCGAAAGTCTATGCTGTCTTTTCAGTTTTCCTGACATAATACAGTGCCATAATAAAAATATATGGAGAAATGGTAACTGCTGATATATCCTGTGTATAGAATTGCAATTCTAATTTCAAACTTTCATATAAAGCCTTCTAATACTTAAATATTTTTACACAGCTTCATCACATTTATTGCTACTTTATTTTCAGATCACTTAAGCCAAAACTGGAGACAGTTTAGGTACCTTTGAGTTGTTAAAAGTTATAGCCAATTTTCTCAAAAATTATACCAGCTAAAAACACAACATTAAATATTTACCCTGTTGGATGTTAAAAAACGCTTACAATGAAAAATGTTCACATATTGACTATTCAAAATGGCCTTCACTTTGAAATTGTGAAATGGAAGGGATTGCAGATGTACAAGAATAAATATAAAAACAAATGAGTTGACTTGAAGTGTTGCCGGCTTTCATAAACATGCTACTGCAATAACATGTGACATTAATATTTAATTACAAAAGCACTGCTGCAAAATCTTTGAAATTAATGTTTTGCAAAATTAACATTCAGTGCACAGAAGCAAAGTCGTTCCAGGCGCGACTGTGATTAACAATGCCATTCACTTTACATATTATATTAATATATTATTCAAGCTACGAATTAACACCTCCTAATTTAAATAAGGTGCTACATATCATGATGAGCTAAAATGCTTTTCTTAAAATGGCCCGTCTGATTTTAAGCAATCTGTGTTTATCATTTAATATTTTGTTATTGAATACTGTTCTCCGTAAAACTCCTTCCACTTTAATTTCAAGCAGAGGAGACCTCATTAAACTGGTGCCTTCCGTTTCTAGGACTGTTAAACCATTTGAACCATATTTTGTTTGCTAGCTACGCCAGCAGTATTGAAATACTACTGTGTGTATGAGTGTACTCGTAGACAGCCATACTTTTACTTTCAGGGCTCTGAGGGATCCTACCGAGCAATGTGCTTCTTTGCTTTCAATGAGACACTTGTTTGCACAAATGTCGCCACTATCATTATGTCACAGATTTCTACTTACTCACTCCGATCGAGGTGAACGCAGTTCCTTGGAGGGAGGAGCTGCAGTTTCAAAACTGCCTCTCATACTGAACCTCAGAGCTTACCAGTTCCCTTTGAAAGTGTGAAGACTTGGAGATGATGTAAATTTCTCATTCTAAACTATGAATGTGGGATAATTGTCATTCCTGTTCAGAATCCATTTATCAGGAAGGAATTCAGAGGGCCATTTCTGTTTTACTGAGGCCAATGCAAGGGAGAGGTTCTTGTTTGAAGAAAAAAAAAAAAATACCTGAGCAGGTAAAATTGCTCTGTAGACAACATCATTTTAGAGCCTCAGAATCTTGTCCCATCATGACAACTTTGGGGCAACAAACTTCAATGATAATTTGTTACCATAGCATTTTTAATATGTTTGAAATGAAAAGACAATTATTGATGTTCTGAGAAAATATTTAGTAGCAAAAATCCATGCCTAAGACACTGCAGGATAATCTTGGTGTATTCTAAAACAGTTTCTAAGTTATGGTTCCTTAGGTTCCAAGTCGATCAACAAATATATGGAAATGATGAAATCGGGCTGCAACCATCTCACAATTTTAGAACCCTGGAATGAGCAGCTTTCATTTGTCGGTTTCAGGTTGAAGAACCATAGGCGTTATTTCTACATATCTCCTGTGTCATGTAATTCAGACACAGGTTCAATTATCTAGCTGAATTGAGTAACAATTTTGAGATCCTAAAAAAATAAATAAATAAAAAGATCTTTAGCAATGCAAAACCACCTTCACACCATGTATTTAACCTAACTAAAGAGTGTAGAGACCAGTAGGATATTAACCAGTATACAGTTGCATTTTCCCACTTTGCTAAAAAAAAGCACTAAAACCCTTAATAGCACAAGTTTCTCTTAAAGGGCTGGACTAGTCTTGGTTGGCCTTACATTCAATGTCGATCTTTTATTTTATTTAATTTTTTTAGAGACAGGATCTCACTTTGTTGTCCAGGCTGGAGTGAAGTGGTGTGATCATAGCTCAATGCAGCCTCAAACTCCTGGGCCCCACAA